TAAATATGTCTGCAATAAATTCTTAAAAGCATCGTTGTACAGGTATGAAATTTAATTATATAATTATGTGTACTACAAATTCCATTTTCATGTCTATATACATACATACATATGTATGTATGTAAATATACAAAACTTACATCTTTCTCCTTTGCTACGGAGCGGGTGGGACCACGCATGGCGTTTAGGCTGTCAGCCATCTGCATCCAAAGTGTTTGTATCAGTTTTGGGGAGCACGGATTATTTCTTCCTTTTTGCAGCTCCGGATGCTCCACACAAAACTGCACATAAAATTGCAGCAAGTACGGGAACAAAAAAACTATTTTTCCTGTAAAAACGTCAACCAGTGATTGCTTGACTTTTCATAATTTTACCAGAAGGAAAAGTTCGGGTAAAATCTTGCAACTTCATTCTCTACACAACTCTCCAATAGTCGCTCTCATTTACAGGATTTTGGAGGATTTTGGAGTACGGGAACATTTTTCCTGCAAGTTCGTGTAAAATCCTGTAAGTTCATGGAGTACTGGATCAGAGCTAATGACAAAACCACGACAACGAAGGATGATCAATTGTCATTCTATTGCAAAACCGGAATAGGGTTGTATGACTCAAAATAACAGCCCGATTCCGGTTTTGCAATAGAATGACAATTGGTCATCATTCATTGTCGTGATTTTGTCATTGTCGTTGCACGTTGGCATTCCTAACAAAACATGACAAGCGAAAAGCTTTTGTCAACTTACCATGCATGGTGAATAGTTCGTTGTTGTAAAAACAGCTGGTCAACGCTATTATTTGCACCAGAAAAGTAAGTATTTGTGTGAAAAAGATAAATTCGTATATTTATAACATTTATAAACATTTTAGATGTGCAAAATATGAGCGGACGACGCAGGAGCTGCTGCAATTTTATGTGCAGTTTTGTAGCGAGTATCCGGTGCTGCAAAAAGGAAAAAATCATCCGTGCCCCCCAAAACTGATACAATCGCTCTGGACGCAGATGGCTGACAGCCTAAACACCATGCGTGGTCCCACCCGCTCCGTAGCAAAGTGGAAAGATGTAAGTTTTGTATATTTACATACATACATAAGAATGTATTTATATCTTTCATTTATGCGNATTGCAGCAAGTACGGGAACAAAAAAACTATTTTTCCTGTAAAAACGTCAACCAGTGATTGCTTGACTTTTCATAATTTTACCAGAAGGAAAAGTTCGGGTAAAATCTTGCAACTTCATTCTCTACACAACTCTCCAATAGTCGCTCTCATTTACAGGATTTTGGAGGATTTTGGAGTACGGGAACATTTTTCCTGCAAGTTCGTGTAAAATCCTGTAAGTTCATGGAGTACTGGATCAGAGCTAATGACAAAACCACGACAACGAAGGATGATCAATTGTCATTCTATTGCAAAACCGGAATAGGGTTGTATGACTCAAAATAACAGCCCGATTCCGGTTTTGCAATAGAATGACAATTGGTCATCATTCATTGTCGTGATTTTGTCATTGTCGTTGCACGTTGGCATTCCTAACAAAACATGACAAGCGAAAAGCTTTTGTCAACTTACCATGCATGGTGAATAGTTCGTTGTTGTAAAAACAGCTGGTCAACGCTATTATTTGCACCAGAAAAGTAAGTATTTGTGTGAAAAAGATAAATTCGTATATTTATAACATTTATAAACATTTTAGATGTGCAAAATATGAGCGGACGACGCAGGAGCTGCTGCAATTTTATGTGCAGTTTTGTAGCGAGTATCCGGTGCTGCAAAAAGGAAAAAATCATCCGTGCCCCCCAAAACTGATACAATCGCTCTGGACGCAGATGGCTGACAGCCTAAACACCATGCGTGGTCCCACCCGCTCCGTAGCAAAGTGGAAAGATGTAAGTTTTGTATATTTACATACATACATAAGAATGTATTTATATCTTTCATTTATGCGTGAATACATTTGCATACACACATTATTTCGCAGACATTAGCGGCGTGGAAAAATCAGCTACGCTGCCGCGCACGAAAAGTGCATGCGGATGTAACTGGAACAGGTGGGGGACCACGGACGGCAGACATCTCTGATTTCGACCAACAGGCGCTTGAAACTTTTGGGGCGGCGACAGTATACGGACGAGCAAACATGGGTACATTTGGGCATGCGGTATGTGAGTTTCCTTGAAATGCATATCTACGTGTCTGTAATGTATTTAAGGGGTACTGTTTAGTTATTTGTACAACGATTTTGAGTTGCTGTGCCCAAGCGCGTGAACCGAATCAAAGAACTTTTACACACACTTGTAGACAAGAGTCTACGCTTTATTAAAAAAAAGCTATATCTGCGCTCTATTTTTTTAATAATTTGGGTTTCAAATATGGTATTGTCCCCCTCCCTATTCACCCCCACACCAAAATCGTTGTACAAATAAGTAAAAACTTGCCTATTTAAGGGATCTAGATATTCACACATAACATTTGCCAAACTATATAATATAATATATAATCAGATGTAATTTAGACCGAGGTTGTCAATTCCAGTGAGGTGGTGACTTGCGAGTGTTCAGCACCGCTTTCGGAACCGCAGAATCCTATTTCTGCAGCAGCCGCCTTAAATGCCTTGCTAACTGTCCCACCAGGTGTTACAGACTGTAACTCACGAGCAAAAATATCGCAAGCCGTAACAAGTTAAACGCTGCCCTTAACAGCCTCCAAATTAAGGATGAGAGGGAGGCAATTCAACACGAAGTGCTCATCGCCACTCTTCATCAGCTGAGCACAGCCGTAGATCAGATGACCGTGGTGTTGGAAAAGCTTGATGCTGGACCAATATCCAATTATATATCCTTAAGCCTAGTAATACTTTTTAGAAAACATGCGAAAATGTGTTCCATAATTATAGATTGGTTGTGCACTTATAAGAATACATACATATATATGTATGTATATAGACATGAAAATGGAATTTGTAGTACACATAAATATATAATTAAATTTAATACAAGTACAAGGATGTTTTAAGAATTCATTGCACACATATTTACATTCTTACATACATAAACAAAGTTATTTATTATTGTTAGAATACTTAGATATATAAATGTATGCACAACAGATGTAAATCTGTTTATGTGTGTATGGAAGAATGCAAATATGTGTGCAATAAATTCTTAAAAATATATCCTTGTACAAGTATGAAATTTAATTATATAATTATTTGTACTACAAATGCCATTTTCATATCTATATACATACATACATATGTATGTATCAAAAACAAGTACAAATATGTGAGTACAAGACTGAATTCGAAAATCTATATGTACCTTACCGATGAGCTTACCAATTTCCCCAGTGGGACGTTTATGTTTATGCCTGTATTTCTGTTTTGTTATTTTTACTTATGTACATTAGACTGCATCACTCACCATACAAAAAAAAATCGGTACTATTTTTCCATTGGAATTATAAAATCTATTATATTTTAAGACGTCTACCAAAATATTTCGGAAAAATATTAAGATTTAAGTGAGCTGGACCGATTTGAAAATACCCCCAAAAATGGAGTTTTTTATGAATAAAAGATCTTAAAGATTTTTTTTAAATCCCCCCAAATGACAAAACGGTTTAAGCTTAAAATATTTAAAAAAAATTTAAACAAAATTTTGAACGGAATCGTAATGATGAGATTTTTGATACTGTTTTTTAACTTTTTTCAAAGATTTGCTATAGGAAAAACTGGAATAACTGAACCTTAGCTCTTCCGATTTAGACTTAAGAGGTTTCATTGGAAAGGTATTTTCTTACCCTTTTTATTTCTTTGCTAATAAACTCATTCAAAGGATGGAAGAGAAAGGTAGGATGAACGAACGTCAAAGTTGAATTAAGTTGTGTTGGTATTCGAAAAAACAAGATGGGGCGCGAATGTCGTTTTTTTGGCCAGAAATAAAAACAGTGTGAAAATACCTTTCTCCTGAGATCCCATATGTCTACATCAGAACATTTTTGGCGCAGTTATTCAAGTTTTTCGTAAACCAATCTTTGAAAAAAGTAAAAGAACAGCATCAAAAATCTCATTCTTACGATTCCGTTGAAAAGATTTTTAAATATTTTTATGCAGATTTTTTAAGCTTAATCTAATTTGGCATCTGAGGGGACTTTTATCAAAAAGTTCTTTAGAAACTATTTTTATACATAAAAAACTTCATTTTTGGAGGTATTTTCAAATCGGTCCAGCTCGCTTAAATCTTAATATTTTTCCGAAATATTTTGGTGGACGTCTTAAAATATAATAAATTTTGTAATCCCGGTGGAAAAACCGCAACTTTNGCATTTTTTGTAGTTTAAATTTAAAATTTTTTATTTAAAACATTAATACAAAAAATGGATATATACTAGGGTCTAACCGTTTTACTTAAATCTATTAGCTTTAATTCACATTTCAAGCTTTGCATAAAAATTATAAAGAACTCAACACCAGAATTTAAATAATAATAAAAATAGTAATAATAATAATAGTAATTAGTAATAATTGTAATAATAATAATAGTAATTAATAATAATAGTAATTAATAATAGTAATTAATAATAATAGTAAGTAATAATAGTAATTAATAGTAATAGTAATAACAATAATAGTAAAATGTAATAATAATAATAACAAAAATATTAACAATGATAATATTAATTGAAATTTTGGTGAAAGTTTTAAATGTAAATTAAAAGAAAAACTAAACCTTAAAACCAAAAATCTTTAGGGCTGCAAACGTACGGTTACATCGTTGCTGAATTATTAAACTGCAAAAACGAGCATAGAAAAATACTAAATGTATTGGTAACATTCTTAATTAATAAACCCGGTATGCATACCTTATAATGAAGATATATATCTTTCTCTAATTCTCGCACCATCTCTCAAATTAGCATTTTCTGCAGCTTCGTTAGTAGCAACATCCTCCTCAAATTCGTCCAGAGCTTCGAAACCAAGGTCTGCAGCAGAGCCGTGTTTCAAAATAATGTTGTGTATATAATATTCCCGGCTCTCTCATGGGAATAATGCAAAATACGGTGCTTTGCTAAGCACCGAAATCTTGATTGCAGAACACCGAAAGCTCTTTCTACGCAATTTCGAGCCTTTGCGTGTAGGATGTTGAATGTCACTTCTTTTGCATTCGATGGCTCTGCCACTGGAGTTAGAAGCCATGGTTCCAGTGGGTAACCCTGGTCCCCTAACAACCAATTATCGCACTGGATTCTATGTGTTCTTAGAAGATGAAGGCGTGTTGGGGATGTAGTCCAAATACCGGAGTCGTGGCAGGATCCTGGGAATCTTGCATTTATAGCCGTGAACAGCAAACGATGATCACATACCTATCGAGAAAGAAACTTGTATAACAATATATTAGATTTCTTACAGAATTGTCATTGCTTTGAAATTTAATTTTATCTATCATTTACCGTATGTAAAAAAAAAAAATATATAGTAACACTTACAGCCTCTACGTTAATGCTGTAGAAACCTTTCCGGTTCATATACATACATAGAGGGTTACTTGGGTCTGTTGATGATGAAGCGACTATGCCTATGTGCGTGCAGTCAACAGCACCGATCGTTCCCTTAATCATAAATGCCGTATAAAAGCTGAAAGTAATGATATAACATAAATTTAATTCACCTTTTTTAAAAATTCTATTTATTACCCCTTTTTAACTTCCAAGACCTCATTTGAAGTTTTGGGGACCCTTATTTCGCCGCCCTTAACTTCCATTATTAGCGTTGAGATGTGATGAATGGCGCGCGACACCGACGGCTGGCTCATCGCATCCTGCACACTTCTGGTATGAACCATGCGCGTAGAAATACAGGCTCCCCAAAAATCTTATTAGAAAGGGATGGCGGACTTCTGAGGGTCGCGTGGCTCCAATTAATGCATTAGTTCACGACAAAGTGATTTAGGAAGCGAAAATTTTGGATAAAAAACTATCTCCTGCATCGAAAACGGGTCGCTGTCGTCCCTGAGCTCCCTCAAAACTCGCTTCCTTTCAAGCTTTTGCTCGTCTTCCACAAGCACGGCTGCGCAAATAACTAAAATTTGTTCTGCCATTGAAATTAGTCTTTTTTATATTTTTTTCACAAATTTATTAAATCGTCGCACTTTTTATGTCAACACAAACATATGTTTTTGCTTTGTCACCTGCCAAATAGGTCATGACAATAAAAATGACAATTGGCATGATTCGAGTTTTGAATTTTGCTGCGAATACCAAAAAGCTTCAATTGTCATTTTTATGTCAATTGTCATCGCGGTGAGTTTTGTCAATGTGGCGGAATATGGCTGTAAGTTGGATGTTTTTACATTCTCGCATTCTGCAAGTTTTTTAAACGACATTTTTGCCAAAAACCGCAACACAAGCTTAACCTAAGTGGCTACTAAAAAATCAAAACTCAGGTATGCACATATTTTCAATGTGTTTTCCGAATTCGGCGTTGCGCATTTTCTTCTCTTTTATATGGAAGAAAATAGCCAACACCATTACCCAACAGAAAGATGCCAAAAATCGGTGGTAAGTGCCACATACTTCAGTATTGGAATTTTCTATGGAACAAATGCAGTAGGGCTCCAAATCTCAAATAAAAAAAAATAAAAAGTTGGAATCGATAGAGGTGATTGAGCTAAGTATAACGGTATACTTATTTTTTTTGGGCAAACAGCAACAACAAGAATTATCAAATAAGCTATTTTTGAAATCAAGATTACTTAAAAACGACTGGATGGATTTTGAAAATTTGATATACGTAACTTATACATATACATATATTTTAAATAGTTATTACAAAAATTTAATTAAAATTAAAAAAATACTAAAGAAATCTATACAAACCATTTTTTTAATCACCTTATTTGTTATAAGATTGAGTGGTAGAATTAAATGGAAAATTAATCAAGCTTTTATTTGATATAGAGTATACTGTCAAGAGTTCCCACTGTACAAAGTATTTATATAAAACAACCCTAGTCGNTAGTCTGTCCAACACCGGCTACACTATCCACAGTATTTTTTCACAAAACTCTTTTTTACGTAGGAGGCCTTCGGCCGCGCTTTAGGATTATAACCCTTACCAAATAGGATTCTCCTTTTGGTGTGCACCAACTGGGGCTATCGCCTCAGGGATGTAGCCTTGGGAAATGATGAGGTAACTAGAATTCCCTTTCTGTCTGGTAAACCTGGGACTGCCGCCCCAGTGATGTCTATTTATTATAGTTAATTATAAAGTACGTATACCAAGTTAAAGGGCATCAAATTTCCTTTTAAATGAGATTTTAAGAAATCTTGATTTCAAAAATAGCTTATTTTGGAATTTAACCTTTGATAATTCCTTGAACGAAAAATGGCACTGAAGATGGCACAACGACGAAACCGGTTTGTCTCCAAACCAAATTTGACAAGGGATGACGGAAAATCGTTCCACAATACATCATACTCCTACCCTGTCGGAAACACAAACAACCAAAAAGAAGTATTTTTGTTGTTGTTTGCCCAAAAAAAGAAGTATACCGTTGTACTGAGCTGAATGATCTCTATCGATTCCAATATATATATATATTTTTTTTTTTTTATTTGAGATTTGGCGCCAACTGCATTTATGCCTTTTCTATAAAAAATTTAATTGGCTACAAACTGAAATCTGTACATATACTGAAAATCTTTCTAAAAGTATAAACAGAACCAGATCGCTGTGCGAATTTCGTCGGTCGGAGCGATACCGTTGGGTGATATGCGCCGCAACATTTCGCCCAGTAAAACAGAACAGAAACGAAATTCGCATCAATTGAATGGCAAATAAAAACGCATAAAAATACAAAAGCGAACGATGAATTACCAAATTTTGCTATTCTGATTCTCGCTGATAATTATCTGATAGAAAAATGGGGAAACAAAGCTCCATTTTCACTGAGAGCTGATTTTGTGGCCGGCGGCAGCGGCAAAATTAAAAATAAATCTATTCTTGCCGAAGTTCGTCACACGAAATTCGTCGTCACATTTGTTGTGTGCAATCCCATAAACTGCGGTGTGTTTCAGTTTTGGCTGCGAACTTTCTTCCGACGAATTTCTCTGGGCGATTTGATTCTGTTTAAACTTTAATGCCGGATTTCCACTAGGCATTAAATTGCAAAAATGACAAATGACAAAGTTCGGCATTAAAAAATAATCGTGTCATTATGTTAAAAAAATTGTCATTATGCTCATTTCCACATGGAATTATTTCAATGCCAATGGAAATTCTGCATAAGAAATCTAAATAAAAAGCTGGAATTTTTTGTTGACTTTTTTTAATATTGCACATTGATATATTTATATTTATACGTTTTTTTTGCTAAAGAAAGAGCAATATTTAAAAAAATGACTAAAATTAAGGAACAAAAAAAATCTTGTCGTGCGCTTTAATTTTGACACGGGGTATAAGTCAGTTTCTTGTAACTTATAAATGGTTTTTATAAATTTTCGATTTTAATCGAAATGACCGATAAATCGGTTAATTTCTTACGATTAATTGCAATTATTAATTGGGTGCTTTCGATTAATCAATCGATTACTATTTTTTTTTGCCAGTACTAATTTTACTGGTTTTTACTGGATGTCGTTCTCGTACGCAAAAACTTGCAAGAAACTAGCAAAAGTGCGGAAATTGAGAGAGCAAAAATGACAGCTGAACTTGCAAGTTTTACTGGATGTTTACTGGATAAATTTTCACTGCAGCTATTTTGCTAGTAAGAAAAACAGCTGATGGCATGATGCTTAATGTAATTCATATTAACAAAATAATTGTTTATGGTGCTTTTAGAGTTGCAATTGACGAAATAAACCTATTTAAATATGTAATAAGATGGAAAATACTAGTTTTCTTAGAAAACTGCATCGGAAAATAACAAATTAAATAGCTGTTCATAAAACTAGCAACTTCTTGCTGGTTTTGCGTTTTCGTGCTTTCGTGCTTATTTCCCACATTGGGAGTAAACATTGGCTTACTTTCCGAAATTTGGTTACTGGCAAGTTGCTGGATATTTTTTGCTGGAGAATACGAAAACGCAACTGTTTTCTGTAAACCAGTGTTCCCGTTGTGCTACTAAAGTATCAAATTTACACTTTTTGGAGATCTATGCCCCCTGACACCGACTTTTTAAAAATGCGCTTTTTTGAAACTTTTCTTTGATTTAAAATAGATATTCACACATAACATTTGCCAAACTATATAATATAATATATAATCAGATGTAATTTAGACCGAGGTTGTCAATTCCAGTGAGGTGGTGACTTGCGAGTGTTCAGCACCGCTTTCGGAACCGCAGAATCCTATTTCTGCAGCAGCCGCCTTAAATGCCTTGCTAACTGTCCCACCAGGTGTTACAGACTAGGGGTATTCTCCAAATCTTGCAAAGCCATTGCACGTAGCACGGATTGCATGGATTGCATAACTTGCAAACACACAACAACAAAATACATGGGAAACGACATTTCCTATCGCTGCAAAATATGCAACGTCGAAACCCATGTATATATTTTGCAAAATAGCATAGCAAGATATATGCGACCCTGTGCTAGTTGTTTTGTTGTTGGAATTGCTACATATTTCTCTCATTCCTCTCATCTCGCTCACTTCATTTTTTTCTGCTGTCTCTTGTTATTGTATTTGATACATAATTTCGCTGCTTGCTACCCATGCATTCTCCCACTTTGCAATGGGGTGCTCTCGTACTCTTCGAAATTTGGGATAGTATTTTTGCATTTCGTGCAATACGTGCATCGTGCAATACTTCGAGAATACCCCTACTGTAACTCACGAGCAAAAATATCGCAAGCCGTAACAAGTTAAACGCTGCCCTTAACAGCCTCCAAATTAAGGATGAGAGGGAGGCAATTCAACACGAAGTGCTCATCGCCACTCTTCATCAGCTGAGCACAGCCGTAGATCAGATGACCGTGGTGTTGGAAAAGCTTGATGCTGGACCAATATCCAATTATATATCCTTAAGCCTAGTAATACTTTTTAGAAAACATGCGAAAATGTGTTCCATAATTATAGATTGGTTGTGCACTTATAAGAATACATACATATATATGTATGTATATAGACATGAAAATGGAATTTGTAGTACACATAAATATATAATTAAATTTAATACAAGTACAAGGATGTTTTAAGAATTCATTGCACACATATTTACATTCTTACATACATAAACAAAGTTATTTATTATTGTTAGAATACTTAGATATATAAATGTATGCACAACAGATGTAAATCTGTTTATGTGTGTATGGAAGAATGCAAATATGTGTGCAATAAATTCTTAAAAACATATCCTTGTACAAGTATGAAATTTAATTATATAATTATTTGTACTACAAATGCCATTTTCATATCTATATACATACATACATATGTATGTATCAAAAACAAGTACAAATATGTGAGTACAAGACTGAATTCGAAAATCTATATGTACCTTACCGATGAGCTTACCAATTTCCCCAGTGGGACGTTTATGTTTATGCCTGTATTTCTGTTTTGTTATTTTTACTTATGTACATTAGACTGCATCACTCACCATACAAAAAAAAATCGGTACTATTTTTCCATTGGAATTATAAAATCTATTATATTTTAAGACGTCTACCAAAATATTTCGGAAAAATATTAAGATTTAAGTGAGCTGGACCGATTTGAAAATACCCCCAAAAATGGAGTTTTTTATGAATAAAAGATCTTAAATTTTTTTTTTAAATCCCCCCAAATGACAAAACGGTTTAAGCTTAAAATATTTAAAAAAAATTTAAACAAAATTTTGAACGGAATCGTAATGATGAGATTTTTGATACTGTTTTTTAACTTTTTTCAAAGATTTGCTATAGGAAAAACTGGAATAACTGAACCTTAGCTCTTCCGATTTAGACTTAAGAGGTTTCATTGGAAAGGTATTTTCTTACCCTTTTTATTTCTTTGCTAATAAACTCATTCAAAGGATGGAAGAGAAAGGTAGGATGAACGAACGTCAAAGTTGAATTAAGTTGTGTTGGTATTCGAAAAAACAAGATGGGGCGCGAATGTCGTTTTTTTGGCCAGAAATAAAAACAGTGTGAAAATACCTTTCTCCTGAGATCCCATATGTCTACATCAGAACATTTTTGGCGCAGTTATTCAAGTTTTTCGTAAACCAATCTTTGAAAAAAGTAAAAGAACAGCATCAAAAATCTCATTCTTACGATTCCGTTGAAAAGATTTTTAAATATTTTTATGCAGATTTTTTAAGCTTAATCTAATTTGGCATCTGAGGGGACTTTTATCAAAAAGTTCTTTAGAAACTATTTTTATACATAAAAAACTTCATTTTTGGAGGTATTTTCAAATCGGTCCAGCTCGCTTAAATCTTAATATTTTTCCGAAATATTTTGGTGGACGTCTTAAAATATAATAAATTTTGTAATCCCGGTGGAAAAACCGCAACTTTTTTTGGTGATGCAGTCTAATGTACATACATTATACAAAACAGAACTATGAATTTGTATACATACCTGATACTTTACTACATTATATATGTATGTATATCGTATATCGCCGTCGTTTTTGGAGAATGACGATACGTGGTTTTGTACTTTAAACAACGATATGTACTTATGTACATCAAACTGATATGTCATATAGTTTTTATAAATATGAAATTGAATTGGTTTTGCATTGGTGTAAAAAAAATAAAAAATATAATCTATACTAATTATATAAAGAGAAGTCCCATCTTTTTATAAGAGGTGATCTCGCAAGCGGCTGTACCGATTTTTTTGAAATTTTGGACACCTTTTGGTAATAGACAGATAATAATTTCGTTATATTAAGGGAGCGTGGCATCTCTAATACAAATCGAATTTTTCATACCGCATATCTCTGGAAGTATTTGTGGTAAAGTCCTGGAACTTGGTATGGTATCAATCCCACACTCATGGAAAAAAGTGGGGGATATTGGAAAAGGGGGCGTGGCGCCTTCTAAAAATATTGAAACTTTACTGGAAATATATATATACTGGAAACATATATGGATACCTTTATATATATATACCTTTTTATGCAAATGTTGTTGTTAAAATGCTACTTTGAGCTGTTAAATATGTATGTACATCGTAACATACAATGTGTAACTAAATGTGCAAAAAAGGAACTTGAAATATATGAGCATTTTTTGTAGTTTAAATTTAAAATTTTTTATTTAAAACATTAATACAAAAAATGGATATATACTAGGGTCTAACCGTTTTACTTAAATCTATTAGCTTTAATTCACATTTCAAGCTTTGCATAAAAATTATAAAGAACTCAACACCAGAATTTAAATAATAATAAAAATAGTAATAATAATAATAGTAATTAGTAATAATTGTAATAATAATATAGTAATTAATAATAATAGTAATTAATAATAGTAATTAATAATAATAGTAAGTAATAATAGTAATTAATAATAATAGTAATAACAATAATAGTAAAATGTAATAATAATAATAACAAAAATATTAACAATGATAATATTAATTGAATTTTGGTGAAAGTTTTAAATGTAAATTAAAAGAAAAACTAAACCTTAAAACCAAAAATCTTTAGGGCTGCAAACGTACGGTTACATCGTTGCTGAATTATTAAACTGCAAAAACGAGCATAGAAAAATACTAAATGTATTGGTAACATTCTTAATTAATAAACCCGGTATGCATACCTTATAATGAAGATATATGTATATCTTTCTCTAATTCTCGCACCTCTCTCAAATTAGCATTTTCTGCAGACTTCGTTAGTGCAACATCCTCCTCAAATTCGTCCAGAGCTTCGAAACCCAAGGTCTGCAGCAGAGCCGTGTTTCAAAAGAATGTTGTGTATATAATATTCCCGGCTCTCTCATGGGAATAATGCAAAATACGGTGCTTTGTAAGCACCGAAATCTTGATTTCAGAACACCGAAAGCTCTTTCTACGCAATTTCGAGCCTTTGCGTGTAGGTGTTGAATGTCACTTCTTTTGCATTCGATGGCTCTGCCACTGGAGTTAGAAGCCATGGTTCCAGTGGGTAACCCTGGTCCCCTAACAACCAATTATCGCACTGGATTCTATGTGTTCTTAGATGAAGGCGTGTTGGGGATGTAGTCCAAATACCGGAGTCGTGGCAGGATCCTGGGAATCTTGCATTTATAGCCGTGAACACCAAACGATGATCACATACCTATCGAGAAAGAAACTTGTATAACAATATATTAGATTTCTTACAGAATTGTCATTGCTTTGATTTTAATTTTATCTATCATTTACCGTATGTAAAAAAAAAATATAGTAGTAACACTTACAGCCTCTACGTTAATGCTGTAGAAACCTTTCCGGTTCATATACATACATAGAGGGTTACTTGGGTCTGTTGATGATGGAGCGACTATGCCTATGTGCGTGCAGTCAACAGCACCTATCGTTCCCTTAATCTTAAATGCCGTATAAAAGCTGAAAGTAATGATATAACATAAATTTAATTCACCTTTTTTAAAAATTCTATTTATTACCCCTTTTTAACTTCCAAGACCTCATTTGAAGTTTTGGGGACCCTTATTTCGCCGCCCTTAACTTCCATTATTAGCGTTGAGATGTGATGAATGGCGCGCGACACCGACGGCTGGCTCATCGCAATTTGGAAGTTGTTTCCTGCACACTTCTGGTATGAACCATGCGCGTAGAAATACAGGCTCCCCAAAAATCTTATTAGAAAAGGGATGGCGGACTTCTGAGGGTCGCGTGGCTCCAATTAATGCATTAGTTCACGACAAAGTGATTTAGGAAGCGAAAATTTTGGATAAAAAACTATCTCCTGCATCGAAAACGGGTCGCTGTCGTCCCTGAGCTCCCTCAAAACTCGCTTCCTTTCAAGCTTTTGCTCGTCTTCCACAAGCACGGCTGCGCAAATAACTAAAATTTGTTCTGCCATTGAAATTAGTCTTTTTTATATTTTTTTCACAAATTTATTAAATCGTCGCACTTTTTATGTCAACACAAACATATGTTTTTGCCTTGTCACCTGCCAAATAGGTCATGACAATAAAAATGACAATTGGCATGATTCGAGTTTTGAATTTTGCTGCGAATACCAAAAAGCTGCAATTGTCATTTTTATATCAATTGTCATCGCGGTGAGTTTTGTCAGTGGCGGAATATGGCTGTAAGTTGGATGTTTTTACATTCTCGATTCTGCAAGTTTTTTAAACGACATTTTTGCCAAAAACCGCAACACAAGCTTAACCTAAGTGGCTACTAAAAAATCAAAACTCAGGTATGCACATATTTTCAATGTGTTTTCCGAATTCGGCGTTGCGCATTTTCTTCTCTTTTATATGGAAGAAAATAGCCAACACCATTACCCAACAGAAAGATGCCAAAAATCGGTGGTAAGTGCCACATACTTCAGTATTGGAATTTTCTATGGAACAAATGCAGTAGGGCTCCAAATCTCAAATAAAAAAAAATAAAAAGTTGGAATCGATAGAGGTGATTGAGCTAAGTATAACGGTATACTTATTTTTTTGGGCAAACAGCAACAACAAGAATTATCAAATAAGCTATTTTTGAAATCAAGATTACTTAAAAACGACTGGATGGATTTTGAAAATTTGATATACGTAACTTATACATATACATATATTTTAAATAGTTATTACAAAAATTTAATTAAAATTAAAAAAATACTAAAGAAATCTATACAAACCATTTTTTTTTTAATCACCTTATTTGTTATAAGATTGAGTGGTAGAATTAAATGGAAAATTAATCAAGCTTTTATTTGATATAGAGTATACTGTCAAGAGTTCTCACTGTACAAAGTATTTATATAAAACAACCCTAGTCTGTCCAACACCGGCTACGCTATCCACAGTATTTTTTCACAAAACTCCTTTTTACGTAGGAGGCCTTCGGCCGCGCTTTAGGATTATAACCCTTACCAAATAGAATTCTCCTTTTGGTGTGCACCAACTGGGGCTATCGCCTCAGGGATGTAGCCTTGGGAAATGATGAGGTAACTAGAATTCCCTTTCTGTCTGGTAAACCTGGGACTGCCGCCCCAGTGATGTCTATTTATTATAGTTAATTATAAAGTACGTATACCAAGTTAAAGGGCATCAAATTTCCTTTTAAATGAGATTTTAAGAAATCTTGATTTCAAAAATAGCTTATTTTGAATTTAACCTTTGATAATTCTTGAACGAAAAATGCACTGAAGATGGCACAACGCGAAACCGGTTTGTCTCCAAACCAAATTTGACAAGGGATGACGGAAAATCGTTCCACAATACATCATACTCCTACCCTGTCGGAAACACAAACAACCAAAAAGAAGTATTTTTGTTGTTGTTTGCCCAAAAAAAGAAGTATACCGATATACTAGCTAATGATCTCTATCGATTCCAATATATATATATATTTTTTTTTTTTTGAGATTTGGCGCCAACTGCATTTATGCCTTTTCTATAAAAAATTTAATTGGCTACAAACTGAAATCTGTACATATACTGAAAATCTTTCTAAAAGTATAAACAGAACCAGATCGCTGTGCGAATTTCGTCGGTCGGAGCGATACCGTTGGGTGATATGCGCCGCAACATTTCGCCCAGTAAAACAGAACAGAAACGAAATTCGCATCAATTGAATGGCAAATAAAAACGCATAAAAATACAAAAGCGAACGATGAATTACCAAATTTTGCTATTCTGATTCTCGCTGATAATTATCTGATAGAAAAATGGGGAAACAAAGCTCCATTTTCACTGAGAGCTGATTTTGTGGCCGGCGGCAGCGGCAAAATTAAAAATAAATCTATTCTTGCCGAAGTTCGTCACACGAAATTCGTCGTCACATTTGTTGTGTGCAATCCCATAAACTGCGGTGTGTTTCAGTTTTGGCTGCGAACTTTCTTCCGACGAATTTCTCTGGGCGATTTGATTCTGTTTAAACTTTAATGCCGGATTTCCACTAGGCATTAAATTGCAAAAATGACAAATGACAAAGTTCGGCATTAAAAAATAATCGTGTCATTACTGTTAAAAAAATTGTCATTATGCTCATTTCCACATGGAATTATTTCAATGCCAATGGAAATTCTGCATAAGAAATCTAATAAAAAGCTGGAATTTTTTGTTGACTTTTTTTAATATTGCACATTGATATATTTATATTTATACGTTTTTTTGCTAAAGAAAGAGCAATATTTAAAAAAATGACTAAAATTAAGGAACAAAAAAAATCTTGTCGTGCGCTTAATTTTGACACGGGGTATAAGTCAGTTTCTTGTAACTTATAAATGGTTTTTATTAAATTTTCGATTTTAATCGAAATGACCGATAAATCGGTTAATTTCTTACGATTAATTGCAATTATTAATTGGGTGCTTTCGATTAATCAATCGATTACTATTTTTTTTGCCAGTACTAATTTTACTGGTTTTTACTGGATGTCGTTTTCGTACGCAAAAACTTGCAAGAAACTAGCAAAAGTGCGGAAATTGAGAGAGCAAAAATGACAGCTGAACTTGCAAGTTTTACTGGATTTTTACTGGATAAATTTTCACTGCAGCTATTTTGCTAGTAAGAAAAACAGCTGATGGCATGATGCTTAATGTAATTCATATTAACAAAATAATTGTTTATGGTGCTTTTAGAGTTGCAATTGACGAAATAAACCTATTTAAATATGTAATAAGATGGAAAATACTAGTTTTCTTAGAAAACTGCATCGGAAAATAACAAATTAAACAGCTGTTCATAAAACTAGCAACTTCTTGCTGGTTTTGCGTTTTCGTACTTTCGTGCATATTTCCCTCATTTGGAGTAAACATTA